GAAGTTAATAAAGAGATTAAAGTTGTATTGGTTCTAGTGAGATGAATGGCGGTGGGGGAGAGGCGCCATAATACTCCGTCAGATAGGAAGTGAGTCAAACACTTCAAGGATAGGTTTGTATAGAGCTGCTGACACACCCAAGAGAAACGGGAGGGTGGGAGTCAAACCTAACCTAACCTAACCTAACGTAACCTAACCTAATCTCAACCTCAACCTATACAGATACACACTAACACACACTATACACATTTTCGATATGTTGACAAACTGTTGACTACACATATATATGAGATAGAAGAGAGAGAGAGAGAGAGAGAGAGAGAGAGAGACAAATAAACAAAGAAAAAGAAAGACAGACAGACAGACAGAGGAAGAGACAGACAGACAGACAGAGGAAGAGACAGACAGACAGACAGACAGACAGAGGGAGAGACAGACAGACAGACAGACAGAGGAAGCCTTTAACAACTCACCACTCACGTAAAACAGTCAAGTCTCTGAGGCAGAAAATTGTTCCTATGATCAAGTGTCACTACGACCACTAAACTTTACCTCTCTCTACCTCGCTCTTCACTTTGGCTAATCCTCTCTTTGGGGGATTTATGATTTTATATATTATAATGAAATACTCTTGATTGAACTAATTTACCTGTTGTGATGGGGAATATTTTTTGATTTATTTGATTTAGCAGGGTGTCATTTTAATGTTCTCGCTAATATGGTAACACTGTTTATATCCCCCCTTACCCTTCCCTCACACCTCCTTCCCCCTTAACAACCCCGGACCCCCATTATTGACTCTCCAACACCGCCGTCCACCATCCCAAACAGGTTTAACCAGAGCCATTGTCAGCGTGGCCCCTCCCCCCCCCCCACACACACACAGCAATTAAGGTAGAGTAGCCAGTCACCTGTGTTACTCACCTGTAATGTAGCACAGGTATAATATATTCGCTATGCTCCAGGTCACTAATTGATAACTTATGTAGGCTGTAGAGATAATGTGTTCAGTAAGTGAGGGTGTTGAGGTAGTTTCAGCTGCTGGGTTACTTAAATAGATAGAAAGTTATATATAAAACCAATGTGAGTATAAGGATAATGTTATATAGTTTGTTTATTACGTCGTGTTGGTGGTGATCTGTGATGGTGGTGATCTGTGTTGGTGGTGATCTGTGTTGGTGGTGATCTGTGTTGGTGGTGATCTGTGATGGTGGTGATCTGTGTTGGTGGTGATCTGTGTTGGTGGTTCGTAAACATTGATTTGAAGAATAAGTTTTATTTTGTCGCTTGTTAACGATATATGAAGATTTAATTTAGTTGTGTTTTATCTCATTATGTTTTTTTTTATTCAGTTTATAAATCGAGTTAAACAAAATACGAACCAAATTCTCAAAGTTTCTTCACAATTGATGGACATTTCGAGACACTGATGAGGACACAGTGTTGTTTCAGAGGTTCATGACCAGCGGTGATACGCGTTCCTTACAGTGAACTCATTTATAATTGGAAGAATAAAGGCTTCTTATGTGCTGAGATTAATTTCAGGGAAAAATAATAAGTTGTTACATCAGGTATTTGGTAATTTCAAAGAGGGAGATACAGTCGAAGTCTTCTCACAGTAATTAGATAGTTTCATTCAGTTCCTTGAAGCTTCGACACCTACTTTGAGATGTTTTAGTTGAATCAGTGTCATGAACCTCGACAGCCAGTTTTGTTGCCACTGTTGACGTGTGAACAAGTGCCACAGAGAAGTGTTAACAAGTGTCATCGTTGGTGAGGGAATATACGATCAAGAGGTAAGTGGTGGTCAATATGGATTGTATTTGTTGAGGTTAAGTGTTAAATATGAGAAGGTACATTCAAAGACAAAAGTCGTGTCGCGGTTTTGTCCGAAGATTAAATATAACTCGTGAAACATTACGAGAGCTTCCCCCCCCCCTACCACAATGCAGAGCGCACCAAAAGTTTAACCCATCGTCATATGTTTTCACCAAATTTCACGACACTTCTTTTTGTCTTTCATTGTACAGTACAGAAAGGAGGTTGTGGGCCGGAGCTAACTCAACCCATAACACAACTGCTAAAACTATATAACATTTCATAAGAACTTACCTGGCGGAATACATAGACAAATTGTTATAATTAAATGAGAAATAAGAAGATTTGTTACAGGTGTGTTTACAATATGGCGTCTCGGTCCACCAGCTGACAATGACATCACAAGGACTGTAGATGTTTCCTTACAATAAGTTAATCCCTCACTCCCTTCTTGTGTTTACATCGTCAGCTGAGAGAGTGAGAGAAGAAATATTATGAACTGGTATTTAAAAACAATTGTGTATTAGATATAAACTGTTTAAACACATTTGGATAGTTTGAGACAGTACCTTACATATTTTAGCATCGATACCAAGCTTACCTAACCAAATGGCTTTACTATAAATTTTAGTTAGGTGGGTCAGGGGTCATTACTCACCATAAAAGAATAGCGAACTCATGAAAATGTCTCTCTACTTCCAGTCAGGTCTGACACTACGAGACTAAATCATTTAAAAAAAAAAAACTAATTCAAACCTAATCTAATTTAACCTAGCTTATTCTAACTTCAACTAACTTATCCTAACCTAACCCAATAACATGAATTACTTAAACCTAACCTAACCTTACTTTCCCTGGTTAAAACTGTATTACATTATTACTGTAAGCATTCGTTCGTTGGTAAAATTTGTATGACAAGAAAAAAAAGTGACAATAAACGGACGTGACGGACTTATTATTTACACCGAAAAAAACCCAAATACATTGGAAAATAAATCACGAGACTTTTGGAATTCTTGTGACAGATACAGTAACTAGTCCCAAAAATTTAGTATTATATAATAACAATGGGCTCACATGGAGTATATTGAAGTCTTATAGCCTTGGATGATAACTGAAACCTGGCATTGTGCAGAGGACTTTGAAGGGTAAAATGATATACAAGTAATTGACATCATTCGTTTTAGAAAATATGTTGTGAAAAAAAAATATTGCTAATTAAACCAATACGAATCACAACACCGGGAAATTTTTTATTATACGTTCTGAACATTATGACTTCTTGGGTTAAGATTCGGAAAAGGTCACCCATGGTACTCCTATAAAGACTTGTATATTAGGACAAAAAATTACTCTGGCTTTTTCATTGGAAATTTGTGTTTTACGACTTTTTATGAATTTTGAGTATGTTCATTTCTTAAAGTTCCCTTGTCTTTTCTTTTGTCTTATTGAGTTAGGTTAAGTTTGGCTAGGAGGTTATGTCAGGTCAGGTCTTTCGGGTTGTTCTAGTTAGGCTAAGTTATACATTTATATGGATATTTGAGAGTCATTAGGTTAGTTTCTTGATGTTTTTTAGTTAAGCAAAAATTTATTTCCTCCACCCTTTTAGAGATGTTACTGTTTATAGAATTTGGGTTTAAATATCAATAAAGTTGTATGTAATTAGAATAATGAAAGCAGAACTGTGGCCTCATTCATCCACGTTGTTTGAGGCACATGAGGGGTGACACCAAGGCTTCCTCTACCACCAGGACAAAGTGAGTACAGCGGCTTTTATTATGACACCGTGACCAAGTGTCTTTATTTGTGTGTGTGTCAACTAGAAACATTGTTAGTATCATTGAAGGTTAATCTGATTGTTGTTTTTTCCAGATAAATGAAAGTTAACACCACCTCGAGGGACCACAACACATCACACTTCAGGTATGTCCAGTTTATTATCAGATATCGTTGGTTTTTGTATTTGCTGGTGAGTCTTGTGTCTCCGCTAACAGAGTAAGTCGGCTTTACCTTCCGTGTTGAAGATCGGGATCACGTTTGTTGTATAAAGACATGAGGGAATCTATTTGATCCAGTGGTTTTCTAGATAATAATTTGCGTATGTTATTAACTCAAACATCCGGAACTTTAAATTCCTTAATGCGATTATTACCTGATCTTTTAAATCATTCTCCATCCCAGCATCAAGCATCCTTCTATAACTGAAATGTTGTCCAGTGTTTCTTGTGATTACCAAAGATCGGGTCCAAAGTGTATCATTATATACAGAAGTAATTTTTCATTATACTTTTCGCAATACGGGACTGAATCTGGATCCAATCAGATGTTGGTGATTCTTCCCGGAACGAGGAGGACGCGCCTTAGTTATCTGGTTTAAGACATCCCTCCAGTTTGTTATGCTCTTCCTCCCTCATGATCGCTGGTAGTTATTTGAAGGAAACACAATATTCCTACTTGATTGTTGTGTTTTGCTTTTCAAATAAAATATATCGCCGTAAACTATGGTCCTCCCTGGCAGGCATGAATTGTTCCCCAACGTTGTCTTGTTCACTATAAGGCACTTCAGTTTTCAGAGCCACACCCAATGAACTTTTTTATTTTATTTTTATTTTTTTTATTTTTTTTATTTTTAACTGGAATTAAGAAACATATAGCTGTATCCTTTTGATTCTGTTGATATTGTCTTCAGCTTATGAGCAGAAAACTATAAACTTGCTGGTGGAAAATTATCGTTATCACTCCTGGGGTGTGTATATTAAAGAAGTTTCTGGGAAGACAAAGTCTCTTGAGGTTTTTGGGTAGGTCGCTGGTTCACCCCTAGGGCACCCCTAGTTCACCCAGCTGTGATAAGAACTGTACCTAACAGTTGGGCAAAGTGAAGTTGGTTAAGTACAGTGACGGCCAAACAGCCCCTTTGTGTCCCTAAAACTAGGTTGGTTTAAACTGTGCCGTAGACCGACTGGCCGTAATGGTTCTTCAGGCCATTCATTATCATAGACAGCGGTGTCGAGAAGACAAGTAAGATGTGTTTCTGCTCTGTAAGTTTCTACACATTTTCCATGATAATTTATAAAAGAAAAGTAACTATAAATTTATTTCTGCGACAACATTACACAAGGTTATTATAAAGGTTATATATGATTACGCTGTACAAGTTTGTAAAATCTGGAGTTTATCTTCAGTGCTTAAAGCCCGCTATGTACAGCAGACTTTAGACGCCAGCCCCTCTCCAGAACTCTCAGCTGGTGATGACGAGAGTATGTGACTGGTGTCCTGGTATCATTCACTCGAGGTGTGTGTGTGTGGCTGAGGTCAGTGTCTACCAAGATCTTCCAGTGAACGAGTGTAGCGTCGTGTTTCTTTACCTGAGAATCATAATACCTTAAGCTGAGTTAGTTGTGAAATACCTGTCCTTTTATTTATACCAATGCTCACCTGTAATTAATTTATTGTGTAATCAACAGGGTTAGTTTGGGTGACATAATATACAGGGTGGATCATCATACTTGAACCATAAAAACTTTTTGGGTCACCTTGTAGCAATCAAACCTTCAGCAAGACCAACAATAACCTTATTTCACCAGACACATATGAGCTATACTTATATATATATATATATATATATATATATATATATATATATATATATATATATATATATATAGAGAGGAGATTAACTGCTATATCTATATTATAATCGTAAATCAAATCCTAAAGGAATTTTTTTTCTTTTTTTTTTTACCAGTTAAGCGCCCGAGCAGACAATCCCTTTATAGAAAATGGATTGTTTTTCTTCCTGGATTGCATTAGGAAGGTATTGGGAGTATTTTTTGTAAAGATAAGATGTCCTTTTTTTTGGTCTTGGTTTCCAACTTCAATCATGTTTTGTGATTGAGAAATATGTTTTGTACACACACACACACACACACACACAGTTCTGAAAGTATTATGACAATTGGTTTAAGCATTAGTTAATTTTTCCAACACTCCGCTGAAATCCTTATATTATTAGAATATTTTCACATAGCATATCAGATTAAACTGAATCACTCATTAAAAATTTCAACTGTATCAACAAATGTATAATATTTTGTAATTTTAAACTACAGTCGTTAAAGATAATACAGCCGCTTATCTTAACATTAATTCCACCAGACGGATAATCTTAAATTATATTCTTTGCGCCAAAACCTTGTCTCTCTATATAGAAAGTGCCAACAACAATACTGATGAAAGTTGCATTTAACCTGACCTTTTAACTTGACTTAATATTTAACATCAGTATCTCGTAGCCTTTAGATGTACACTTTTGTTTGTATAAGACTTTAAAATACACTTTCAAAAATATTTATACGTTCAATCCTTCTTTCTTCCTTTAGTTTATTATTATCTATCATATTATTGGTCAAAAAATCCTTTTAATATTCCCATTAATCATAAAATTAACATATTCTTTTATTTTGTTTTTGTTCTTTATTATCCTCTGTTATCGTTCATCTCTCCCAATTATTACGGCTGTTTGTTCTTGTTTTCGTTTGGTTATATAACTATTTTTGTGTCATCTTTCTTCCTGGTAATTCTTTTATATATTTGTTTCAATTTTATTTTGACTATTTTTCATTTTACATCTGACACTTATTACATTTTCGTTTCTGACATATCCTGGCAATATGGTCTGTCTGTCTGTCTCTCTCTCTCTCTCTCTCTCTCTCTCTCTCTCTCTCTCTCTCGTATTCTTATTCCACATTCATGTTTTTGTATAGCTCTTTCTTGCTCTTTCAGTCCTTTCAGATCTATTCCAAAAATCATGCGAGTGATTCGGTCGTCTCTTTGGTGTGTGTGTGTGTGTGTGTGTGTGTGTGTGTGTGTGTGTGTGTGTGTGTGTGTGTGTGTGTCCTTCTTGCCCCACACTGGGGAGGAAGGGAGGGAGAGTGGGATGGACTGAGGGAGGGAGAATGAAGGCCCCACGGCTGACCTTTTAAACTTGGCTCTGTGTGTCCGCCAGACCACAAAAAACCTCGAGGGCTTGAAGAGAACATAAAGGAATACCCAGTGACGCCAGATGGCAGCCCTGGGAATAATCTCTCAGCGAAATATATATCTCTCTCTCCTCTCACGAGAACTTCACTCGTCTCTCTGGGATAGTCTCTGGAGCCTAGGGTTACTTGGGGCCTCGGGTTACCTGGAGCTTTGGGTTACCTGGAGCTTCGAGTTACCCGGAGCCTTGGGTTACCTGGAGTTTGTGGTAATTGATTCAAAGGTGCAGATAATTCCTTTATGATTAATGATGTATATTAAGTTTGTATTGGATTATTGATACCTGAAGCAAGGTTTAATATTATTGGTGGTATTTATAGGTAATCAGAGTGAGGAAGAGGAGGAGGATCATGAATACTGTATGTCTCTCTCTATTGATTCCCCAGAGTATTGAGGCCAGGCAGGTAGGAGTAGATTACCTGTTTGGGTTCACATAGATGTTGGATGTCCGAATCTCATTAGAATATTGACGTGCATCAGAAGAGAGGCGGATGGAGGAGGAGGAGGAGGAGGAGGTAGGAGGAGGCAGGGGGGGAGAAGAAGAAGAAAAGGTAGGGGAAAGAAGAAGAAGAAGAAGAAGAAGAAGAAGAGGAGGAGGAGGTTGGAGACCGGAGGAGGAGGGAAGTACCGTGCTCAAAATCCCACATAAGAGGTGATGCCTTTTGAGTGAGTTTCCTGAAGGAGAGACTCAAGGCTCCACTCACTCTTGACGGTGAAAGGTCGTGTAAAATAAGACATAACTTTTTATAAATAACTGAAAGGAGGTAAAAATAACGGAATAGTTGATCCTTAAAGAGTTAATGAGGTCAATTCTCTTCCATTCAGTGAGGTAGACGGGAGGGGCGGGGGGTGACGAGGCAAGATGGATGTGTTGTTGAGGAAGAGAGAGACTAACCTATCACTTGTCTTACGGGAGGTGGATGGTCTGAGAGGCGTGAAGTAGTGTTGAGGAGGTCGCTGTACTCACTAATGTTATCAATTTAACTACGAGAAACAATAACACAAAGTCGTCATCTTAATAGACCAAAGTTAGTTAATAATGAAAGGTTTAAAGACTCGGTATATAACCTTAACACGTCTTTTATTGTTATGGTCTATGTACGTAATATTAGTCATGGTGTAATGGGAGTTTTTCTTGCCGCTAAACACAGGTTATGTATGATAGAGTGTTGACAAGAGGTGTAGTGGAAGGTGATGGTGACTCTCTTAATACATCTGGCATTACGGGAACACCTCACTCTCTTTATATATCCAAAAAATTACAGGTAACTGATACAAACGCCACAGGAGCATATTAAGTGATTAGATTCTTTTTGAGAACCACGATTGTCTTAAAAGGTATTTGACAAAACATGATTCGAATAATAATGTCAGAAATTAAAATTGAGAACTAAGTTGAGAGTTTCGGTGTTCTGTCGGCAACGGGGAAAGTTTGGTATGCAGGCCCGTCTCCACTAGCCAGACTCCACGTTTTAGAGCAGCCAGCCGCTTCCTAGAGCAATAGTCGGGAAGTTTGTTCACTCCTGGGAACGACCAACACTTGGAAGTTGGTAAGTAAACAGAAACCCGTGCCACAACCTTTGCCTAGAGAGACGCTTGCAATTGTATTAATAATATTTATCATTACTAGCAAATACGACTGGGACAACATTGTGTACCTCGCAGGATCCCGATATAACCCTAGGATCCCGATATACCCCCAGGATCCCGATATACCCCCAGGATCCAAATATACCCCCAGGATCCCGATATACCCCCAGGATCCCGGTATAACCCTAGGGTCCCGGTATACCCACAGGATCCCGGTATACCCCCAGGATCCCGATATAACCCGGTATACCCCAGGATCCCGGTATACCCAGGATCCCGATCCCAGGATCCCGATAAACCCCCAGGATCCCGATATACCCCCAGGATCCAAATATACCCCAGGATCCCATATACCCCCAGGAGATATATATCCTGGTATACCCCAGGATCCCTGATATACCCCAGGATCCCGGTATACCCCCGGATCTATAACCCAGGTCCCGGTATCCAGGATCATGTATATATCCTGGTATACCCCAGGATCAGTATACCCACAGGATCCCGGTATACCCCCAGGATCCAAATATACCCCAGGATCCCCCCAGGATCCCGGTATACCCCAGGATCGGTATACCCCAGGATCCTGGTATACCACATCCGGTATACCCACAGGATCCCGGTATACCCCCAGGATCCAAATACCCCCAGGATGCCCCCGGTATCCCCCAGGATCCCGGTATACCCCCAGGATCCTGGTATACAGGATCACGGTATACCCACAGGATCCCGGTATACCCCCAGGATCCAATATACCCCAGGATACCCCCAGGATCCCAGGATATGCCCCCAGGATCCCTGGTATACCCCCAGGATCACGGTATACCCACAGGATCACGGTATACCCCAGGATCCAAATATACCCCAGGATCCCGATATACCCCCAGGATCCGATATAGGATCCCGGTATACCCCAGGTGGGATCCCGGTATACCCCCAGGATCCCGATATAACCCCTAGGGATCCCGGTATAACCCTAGGGTCCCGGTATACCCACAGGATCCAAATATACCCCCAGGATCCCGGTATACCCCCAGGATCCCGGTATACCCCAGGATCCCGGTATACCCCAGGATCCCGGTATACCCCAGGATCCCGGTATATTCCCCAGGATCGGTATACCCCAGGATCCGGTATACCCCCAGGATCCAATATACCCCCAGGATCCCCGTATACCCCCAGGATCCCGGTATACCCCCAGGATCCTGGTATACCCCAGGATCACGGTATACCCACAGGATCCCGATATACCCCCAGGATCCCAATATACCCACAGGATCCCGGTATACCCCCAGGATCCCGATATACCCCCAGGATCCCGGTATACCCCAGGATCCCGGTATACCCCCAGATCCAAATATACCCCCAGGATCCCGATATACCCCAGGATCACGGTATACCCACAGGATCCCGGTATACCCCCAGGATCCCGGTATACCCATTGGGATCCCGGTATACCCCAGGATCCCGATATACCCCCAGGATCCCGGTATACCCCCAGGATCCTGGTATTCCCCAGGATCCCGGTATACCCACAGGATCCCGGTATACCCACAGATTCCGGTATACCCCAGGATCCCGGTACCCACAGGATCCCGGTATACCCCCAGGATCCCGATATACGCCCAGGATTCCGGTATACCCCCAGATCCGGTATACCCCAGGATCCCGGTATACCCCCAGGATCCAAATACCCCCAGGATCACGGTATACCCACAGGATCACGGTATACCCACAGGATCCCGGTATACCCCCAGGATCCAAATATACCTCAGGATCCCGGTATACCCACAGGATCCCGGTATACCCACAGGATCCCGGTATACCCACAGGATCCCGGTATACCCCACAGGATCCCGGTATACCCCAGGATCCCGGTATACCCACAGGATCCCGGTATGCTACCCCAGGATCCCGATATACCCCGAGGATCCTGGTATACCCCCAGGATCCCGGTATACCCCCAGGATCCCGATATACCCCCAGGATCCGGTATACCCCCAGGATCCCGGTATACCCACAGGATCACGGTATACCCACAGGATCCCGATATACCCCCAGGATCCCGATATACCCCCAGGATCCCGATATACCCCGGGATCCTGGTATACCCCAGGATCCCGATATAACCCTAGAGCGGTATACCCCAGGATCCCGATATAACCCTAGATCCCGGTATACCCCCAGGATCCCGATATACCCCCAGGATCCCGATATACCCCTCAGGATCCCGATATACCCCCAGGATCGATATAACCCTGGGATCCCGTATACCCCCAGGATCACGGTATACCCACAGGATCCCGATATAACCCTAGGATCCCGGTATACCCCAGGATCCCGATATACCCCCAGGATCCCGATATACCCCCAGGATCCCGGTATACTCCCCAGGATCCCGATATAACCCTAGGATCCCGGTATACCCACAGGATCACGGTATACCCCCAGGATCCCGATATACCCCAGGATCCCGATATACCCTCAGGATCCTGATATACCCCCAGGATCCCGGTATACCCCAGGATCCCGATATAACCCTAGGATCCCGGTATACCCCCAGATCCGATATTCCCCAGATCCTGGTATACCCCCAGGATCACGGTATACCCCAGGATCCAAATATACCCCAGGATCCCGATGATATACCCCCAGGATCCCGGTATACCCCCAGGTCTGATATACCCCCAGGATCCGGTATACCCCAGGATCCCGATATACCCCTGGGATCCTGGTATACCCCAGGATCCCGATATAACCCTAGGATTCCCGGTATACCCCAGGATCCCGATATACCCCAGATCCTATACCCCCAGGATCACGGTAGCCCCAGATCCAAATATACCCACAGGATCCCGATATACCCCCAGGATCCCAGTCTATCCGCCATCATTGGGTCAAAATATTATTCGGTGATAAGGGTCTAGAAATATGTCTCCCCCTGGCTTGACCTGTTGCTATCCCCATCCCCCTCTATTAACCGACTGACTGACTGATCTATTGACTGACTGACTGATCTATTGACTGACTGACTGACCTATTGACTGACTGACTGTTTAACTGGTTCATTAATTCATTTATATTCATCTTTTATGACAACAATAATAAAGAATACAACACGATAACTTACAACTGGTCATGGTAGAATAAAAGATAAAAGTCCTGCCAACATACAGTACAGGTTGTCAGCAGGTGTGGTCAGCGTTGTCAGCAGGTGCGGTCAGCGTTGTCAGCAGGTGCGGTCAGCGTTGTCAGCAGGTGCGGTCAGCGTTGTCAGCAGGTGCGGTCAGCGTTGTCAGCAGGTGCGGTCAGCGTTGTCAGCAGGTGCGGTCAGCGTTGTCAGCAGGTGTGGTCAGCGTTGTCAGCAGGTGTGGTCAGCGCTTTACTGTTGTCACCTTTTGATGTTGTTCCGGTATTGTTGTGGTAAAACACGACTGAATTTTTTAATAAGTGAGAATTTTGCTTTTTAAATACGTTTGTTTTATAATGTATTCGTTTGTCACACACACACACACACCTGGATTATTCAGGTGAAATAAGCTGGACTGGAGAATCTTCAGGATCAGTTTTTGAAATAAAAACAAACAAAAAAGTTACTTCTATCTCTATATTATGTGTGTGTGTGTGTGTGTGTGTGTGTGTGTGTTGGGTCAGAGCTGTAATTAGTTTTGTGGCGATTGGCAACAGTGTAGGGTTTAGGTAAACAATTTATTTTGGTATCTGTTTTATTATTTTGCTCGGGTTTTATACAGGGTTTTTTAGATCAACGTTGACCTATCACATGCTTAGACGTTTAAGGAAAGCGAAATCCTTATTCTTCATCTTTGGTCAACTTAGCAACGCCGGAAAATTTTACGGCTTCTCCGACGTCAACTATATGACATTCCATGGGGCTTGTTGATGTGTTGATTATGACATTACCGCCGTGGAGATCTTGATGGCTGTATCCAGCGGCGTGGAACTGGGTAATGGCTGAGAGGACCTCACGCGGTGGGATTTAATTTGGTCTCTGTTGAGCCTTTTTCAGCTTCAGTGAAAGTTATGCCGGGGCATAGATCCATCACCAGGGCATAAGGCTTGGTTGTGACGCCATAGAGTAAACCCCCGGCCCCATCCAGCTCTTGTAGAATGGTTGCTTCTTCTGTTAGCGGGGTGCCGTTGTGGAGTTTCTTAACTACGACGTTTCTGTCTCTCCACTTCTAGGTGAGGCGGTAATGCCGTCTTCCCCGCATCCCTTTACGAATTACCTTGTGATAAGTGATTTTTCCATAAAATTGAGGGAGCTTTACATCTGGGGCTGACTTCTCACGGGTATGGGTTTGAGAGGTGGTGGGGACGGGGAGGTGGAGGTGGTGGGGACGGGGAGGTGGAGGTGGTGGGGACGGGGAGGAGGTGGTGGGACGGGAGGTGGTGGGGACAGGGACATCAAAGGCCTGAGTTTTTCGCCGGCCAAAAGGAGTTTCATCATCTTGGGGCTGGAGGAGGAGGACGGCGAGGCTCCTCTTGGTTCCCTTCAACCTCCTCGCAAGTCTCAGTCAGATACAGATCAAATAAGTCCATCGTTGGAAGTATTCATGAGCTCGATGATATGAGGCTTATGATATAGAAAGAGAAATTGACCGTGTAATGTAAAAAAAGAAACATTAGTAAGGTTGAATTTGGTTGTAATCATCGCCACTAAACTATTAAGTTAACACTATAAATCGAGTATGACGATCATCCATCTATGATAAATAATGTCACCATCATTGATAAGCTCTAAGGTGGCTCGAGAGGCCGATGCGGGACCGGCAGGTCGTCCACACGTAACACTGCTCAAGTCTACATCTAGTGCAGCGTCTTCCCGGGGCTGGCGATTGTCTGCCTCGGTGCAGTTGGGCTAACCTGAAAGTATTGACTCCTTCCCGTATGTGTGTGTGTGTGTGTGTGTGTATAATAAACTATATATAAAACAAAGAAGTATGTCTGTTTGTTGTGTGTGTGTTATATGTAGTGATGATGGATGGTTATATGTAGTGATGATGATGGTGTTATATGTAGTGATGATGGGTGGTGTTATATGTAGTATATGTGTGTTATATGTAGTGATGATGGATGGTGTTATATGTAGTGATGATGGATGGTGTTATATGTAGTGATGATGGATGGTGTTATATGTAGTGATGATGGATGGTGTTATATGTAGTGATGATGGGTGGTAGTAGTGATGATGGATGGTGTTATATGTAGTGATGATGGATGGTGTTATATGTAGTGATGATGGATGGTGTTATATGTAGTGATGATGGATGGTGTTATATGTAGTGATGATGGATGGTGTTATATGAAGTGATGATGGATGGTGTTATATGTAGTGATGATGGATGGTGTTATATGTAGTGATGATGGATGGTGTTTAGTGATGATGGGTGGTGTTATACATAGTGATGATGGATTGTGTTATATGTAGTGATGATGGGTGGTGTTATACATAGTGATGATGGATTGTGTTATATGTAGTGATGATGGATGATATTATGTAGTGATGATGATGATGTTATATGTAGTGATGATGGATGGTGTTATATGTAGTGATGATGGATGATATTATATGTAGTGATGATGATGATGTTATATGTAATGATGATGGATGGTGTTATATGTAGTGATGATGGATGATATTATATGTAGTGATGATGGATGATGTTATATGTAGTGATGATGGATGATGTTATATGTAGTGATGATGGATGGTGTTATATGTAGTGATGATGGATGATATTATATGTAGTGATGATGGATGATGTTATATGTAGTGATGATGGATGGTGTTATATGTAGTGATGATGGATGGTGTTATATGTAGTGATGATGGATGATGTTATATGTAGTGATGATGGATGATGTTATATGTAGTGATGATGGATAATGTTATATGTAATGATGATGGATGGTGTTATATGTAGTGATGATGGATGGTGTTATATGTAGTGGTGATGAGTGGTGTTATATGTAGTGATGATGGATGGTGTTATATGTAGTGATGATGGATGGTGTTATATGTAGTGATGATGGATGGTGTTATGTGTAGTGATGATGGATGGTGTTATATGTAGTGATGATGGGTGGTTTTATATGTAGTGATGATGGATGGTGTTATATGTAGTGATGATGATGATGTTATATGTAGTGATGTTGGATGGTTTTATATGAAGTGATGATGGGTGGTGTTATATGTAGTGATGATGGATGGTGTTATATGTAGTGATGATGATGATGTTATATGTCGAGATGATGGATGGTGTTATATGTAGTGATGATGATGATGTTATATGTAGTGATGATGGATGGTGTTATATGTAGTGATGATAATGATGTTATATGTAGTGATGATGGATGGTGTTATATGTAGTGATGATGGATGGTGTTAAGTATAGTGATGATGGATGGTGTTATATGTAATGATGATGGGTGGTGTTATATGTAGTGATGATGGGTGGTGTTATATGTAGTGATGATGATGATGTTATATGTAGTGATGATGGATGGTGTATATGTAGTGATGATGATGATGTTATATGTAGTGATGATGGATGGTGTTATATGTAGTGATGATGGATGGTGTTATATGTAGTGATGATGGGTGGTGTTATATGTAGTGATGATGGATGGTGTTACATGTAGTGATGATGGGTGGTGTTATATGTAGTGATGATGGATGGTGTTATATGTAGTGATGATGGGTGGTGTTATATGTAGTGATGATGGATGTTGTTATATGTAGTGATGAT